CTCCCGGAGTGCTGGCTCACTTCATGTATCAGTGTCACTCTAGTCATCGCAAACCTCCCTGGTACTTGGCTGAGGTGAGCTCTGGTTCTGCTCTGGCTCCTTTTCTCAAGTAAGGGATGTCCTTGGCTTCCCACCCAGAAACAATGGGTTCATCCCAAATAATAAACTTAACTTTTATCTGACAGCTTAAGAATAAAGTCACAGGCATGTGATAGTAGTTAAACGATATCAGTGTACAAATGTATGAACTTTGCTAAAGCTCTATTTATACCACTAGGTAAGTAACTCAAAACTAAATTCAACTTTTTGGTTTCTAGGTTGCTGTACTTTTGGAAAGTATTGTGCAGAAAAAGCTTCTCCAGGAAGCTGGTTTCATATGGTGGTTTAGATTTAAATAGTGATTGTCTAGCACCATTTGAAATCAGTGTTCTTGGAGGAGACCAACCCCACAGCCAACTGCAGGAGTAAATTGACCAGCCTGAAGAATTTGAAGAGCAAACCCCTGCAGCTCTGAGAATTTGCCTTGCTTCTGTGTAGCCGCCCAATCCCTGCCCTGCTGACAATGGCATTGCATTTGGCAGCTTGATAGCGTGGGATGCTTCATTTTTCAGGCCTTTATACTTGTTTGTGTGATAGCCTTCCCTAGCACTATTCTGCAGTGGGTTAAAGGACCAAATGTATGACTGTTTAAGGGCTGGGTCCTTCCAGTCCTTCGACCTCCTGTGACCCCCCCTTAGAGGATGACTGATTTCTTTTGGTGTTCAGAGTCAATAGAATTTTCTAGCACCATCTGAAATCGGTTATAATGATTGGGGAAAAGCATCGTGTAGCTGGCTAACAAGAGAAAATAGGTTGGTGACCGTAGGTCATGAAAAAAGAAGGCAGAAGCACAAATCAGGAACACTAAGGTGATCTTCCTTTCTGTTTTTAAGTTGTTTCATTACCCTAATTATAATAAATGCTTAAGTATTAACATATTCCTGGTGGCTATATTAGAGAAATTCCACAGCATTTGTAGCATTTGTTTTGGTGATGGGTATCTAGAAAAGAAGAGGAGCAAAACTGATAACTGCCTGGGATCTGAAAGGAGCTATGGGGAGGAAGCTCCATGGTTACTACCCAGACCCAAAAAGGCACGGAAGGACTAATGGCAGAGATAACTGGGTTTACGCATCTAGGATGGAATAAAGTCAAGGTTCAGTTCAAGAAGCAGGGTAGAGAAAGTGGGAGGATCTACTTGTTACTCTCCTAAATTGTCTCTTACTGGAGTGCCATGGTTAGGTAGAATATAATGTTGAGTTTTCTAGGATTATAAGGACATAAGCATGAGCATCTTGGCCACTCCACCTTGTGGGGCATAACTGTGGCTTCTACTGTATACACTGATGTCCGTCATTACAGAGCCATCCTCTGTTTCCACGTGGCATGCCCAAGAACTGAAGGAGCACCTGGTGGACTTCAGTCTTTACCTGTTCTCTCTGGCCTGGAAAAGTCATGTGGCTGACAAACCAGAGATAATACTCAGCAGATCTCCCCAGCCCTTCTCACCTACTTTTTCACCTGATTTTCAGTCATTAAAAAAAAAAAGAAAGAAAATGGTGCAGGAGGAGAGAGAGCTGAAAGTTAATTCTTAGAAATATAATTGGGCTGGGCGCCAGTGGCTCATGTCTATAATCCTAGCTACTCAGGAGGCTGAGATCTGAGGATCACGGTTCAAAGCCAGCCGGGCAGGAAGTCCATGAGACTTTTATCTCTAATAAACCACTAGAAAACCGGAAGTGGTGCTGTGGCTCAAGCGGTAAAGTACAGGGACAGCACCCAAGCCCAGAGTTCAAGCCCCATGACCGACAAAAAAAAAAAAAAAGAAAGAAAAAGAAAAAAGAAATATAATTGGGATTGAGAAATTTCATTGGTAGAAAAAGAGAAATACAGTAAGCTCATTCATAACATATGACTTCCCAGACCCTGAATTCAAGTTTTCTGTTCTTCTGTTTTGAAACTAAAGTGTCAAATGACAAAAAAAAAGCTGTTATGTTTGCTGGAGAACCACATGCAGAAGTAATTTATAATTCTGTACTACATGTTAGTTCCTAAATGAATTAGTTCCTAATTCATTTCTGTTGTGTCTACAATACAAACTTGGCTATTCAGAATAGTGGCAGCCGGGCGCTGGTGGCTCACGCCTGTAATCCTAGCTACTCAGGAGGCTGAGATCTGAGGATCTCGGTTCAAAGCCAGCCCGGGCAGGAAAGACCGTGAGACTCCTATCTCCAATAAACCACCAGAAAACCAGAAGTGGTGCTGTAGCTCAAGTGGTAGAGCGCTTGCCTTGAGCTGAAGAGCTGAGGGACAGCGCCATGGCCCAGAGTTCAAGCCCCATGACCGACAAAAAAAAAAAAAAAAAAGAATAGTGGCAGATGCTCAGTTACTATGGACACTGTAAATCATCAAAGGCTGAAGTACTGTTCACCACCCTATGCTTACTAAAGCAAGTCTATTGTCAAGTCAGTGATAATATCTAATATAGAATGTGTTATATGTATGGAATCCATCATACAGTATCATTTATACTTTTTATTACTGAAGTAACAAATGTATACAGGTAACCAAGTTTGCCATTAGTGTAGTGGCTTTTAGATCATTTACAGTGTTATCTAAGTATCAGCTCTATCTAATTCCTCAACATTCTCCTCATTGTAGAAAGAAATCCTATATCCATTAAGTAAGTAGACATTGATTCTCTCCTTCCTGCCTCCTGAATCTACTGTCTGTAGATTTAAATATTCTGGATATTTTGTGGAAATGTAATTATACAACAAGGGCTTTGTGTTTGGCTTTGTTAACTTAGCATGTGTTTGAGGTTTATTGACATCATAGCAACTATCAACACATAATACCTTTCTTGACTGAATAATATTGCATTTATTCACTTCATTGTTAACATACCACCTTTTGTTCATGCGCTCATTGGTTTGATTGACATTGAGTTCTTTAAACTTAAATCATCAGCGGGTATTTCAGTAGATCTGCGAGTCAGATGGGACTGAGCTCTAGAGAACCAAACAGCTGTCCCCAGCCTCCATTTCTCCTCTCAGCTGCAGCCACTTTGGCTGTGTCTTCTGGCTCCTCTCACCCCCTGTAAGTACACTCACTGCCTTTTCTCCATTCTGACTTTATTTTTTCACTTCTACTGTGGGAGGTGAGGATTTAGTTCTAACACCACCATAAACACACCACTCCATGCCAAGGACTTAGCACAAGTGGTAGAGTGCTTGCTTAGCATGCTAGAGGCTCTGGCAGCTCCGCCAGAAAGAAGGAAAGAAAAAGAGAGAAAAGAAAGGAGAGAAAGAAAGAGAAGAAGGAAAAGAAAGAAAGAAAGGAAAGGAAGGAAGGAAGGAAGGATGGAAGGAAGAAAGGAGAGAGAAGAAAGACTACTCCGTTCATAATTTAGTTATTCAGAGGTTTTGGTTAAAGCAAGAATTGGTGTTGATCATTATGTAGATAATTGTTGGAAGCACTTTGCCACATGGTTTTACATTTCCTTTTAAAATTCTGAAATGAATAACATCATTTTTAAATGCCATTTTCCATATCTTAACAATTCATCCCTAATCCTGCCTGCAAGGATGATGGCTTTTCTCTCTGTGTGGTGAGGCACAGCCGGCGGCACTCAGTGGCACTCGGAGCCAACTTCCTCCTGTGGTGGTCTGGATGGGTGGCGCCCTGCTCACTTCCAGCCATCCACCTGGGTTTAACTGCATCACCGTCCAAAAATTCTTTCTCCTGGGCTGGGTCCTTTTTTAAAAAATTATTCTATGATTTTTATTGTTTTAATTCTCTTAGTCTCAGCTCGTGTGTAGGACACACACACACACACACACACACACACACACACGCACCCCCCCCCCCCACACACACACACCCTTTGGTCTTGTCCTGAGAAAGGGTAACCAGTAGAGTAGATAATTTCTTCATGGTTCTCATTTTAATCTATACTTCATTAATAGTTTCAGTGGTTATAGAATTTCTGACTGGGAAAATCTTCCCCTCAGACTTTTTCTAGCACCTACTATTATTGAGAAGTCTAACACAATGCTGGTTTTGCTCATTTTTTTCCATTAGCTTTTAGGAGTCTCTGCTTAACCCTTGCATTAAATTCCATTGGCTATAAGCCATGATAGGAGCATTTTCACTTCTTGGCCTAGGCATTTAATGCCTCTCATTCTGCACATTTTTTTGCCTTTCAACTCTAGAAAATATTCCTGTTTCCCAGATAATTTCCTTTTTTTTTTTTTTTTGTTTTCGCTATTCTCTCTAAAATTTGTTTTTCACATGTTGGTACCTCCATTAACTTGGATTTTTCTTTTTTACTTTTAGTCCCCACTTTTCTAGTGTTCATTTTTCTTACCCGGCGGTGCTTTCTGGGAAAACCCCCACCTTTACTTGTAAAACTTCGATTCTTATTTCTGCTAATATATTTTTAATATCTGAGAGGTTGCTTTCTCTTTAACATTTTTCCTTTTTCAGATTTGGAGGTGTTTCTGAGGGCATCTTTTTTTCTTTTTAAGAAGCTTTTCCATTCCCTGAATGTCTCTGATCCATCTGGATTTTTTGCACTTCCATTTTTGGTATTGTCTTTCTTCTTGCAGGTTCACACAAACGTCTGGTGAGCTGTGGCTCTCAGGCTTAAAAGTTGAAGTTCTTTATATATTCACGAGGCTTGCCAACTGGTCAGCCTAATTATAGGTGTGTGGTAGGCAGAATAATGCCCCTCTCACATAAAAAGGATGTCTGTGTCCTAGTCCCCAGAATCAGTGCAAATGTTACCTGTGGACTTTGCAGATGGGATGAAACAAAGACACCTTGAAATGGGGTGTGCAAGTGAACCCTCCTTAATCACAAAACTCCATAAAAATAGAGAAACATTCTTGGCTGTAGTCAGAACGAGAAGTGACTATAGAAATCAAACATATCGAGTGATTGGCCTTGAGCGGAAGAGGAGAGGCCGGAGAGCTGCGGCCCGAGCGCCTCGCGAGCGCTGGTGCCACGTCCGCGGTGCCGGGGCCGGCCGGCGGCGCGATGGCGGACTGGTCTCGGGCTCAGAGCTCCGGGGCTGTGGAGGAGATTCTAGACCGGGAGAACAAGCGGATGGCCGACAGCCTTGCCTCCAAGGTTACCAGGCTTAAATCGCTGGCCCTGGACATTGATAGGGATGCTGAAGACCAGAACCAGTACCTGGATGGCATGGACTCGGACTTCACCAGCGTGACTGGTCTGCTCACAGGGAGTGTGAAGCGCTTTTCCACGATGGCACGATCTGGGCGAGACAATCGGAAGCTTCTCTGTGGTATGGCCGTGGGCCTGATTGTGGCCTTCTTCATCCTCTCCTACCTCTTGTCAAGGGCAAGGACGTGAGCCAGTGGGAGCCACAGGAATCCAGGGTCTTCCTCACCTGGTATCTTGGGCTCCTGAGGACATGCTACAAAAATATTCCTTTACAGTGATCATCATGGGCCATGCATTTTCTTCCTATGTGGTGAGGGCCACCGTTGCCTCTGACCAGAGCACTCGTGGTTTGGAGAAACTAAGGCTCAGCCCTCCAATAGGTCAGAACAAGCTAGATTTGAGCCAAACAGCTGAGAATCCTGAATGTGCTCAGTGTGGCCAGCAGCTGTCCACCCAGCCCTCAGGGCTCTAATAGTTTAATGCTCTCCTGTCCTGTCCTGTCTGTGTCGGAATCTGAAGAGCCTGGGGCTGACAACAGAAAGAAGGGACTGTGTCTGTGAACCTCACACAAGCTGAGAGTCAAATAGGGCAATTTCTGGATGTGGCAATCTCCTCACTAGAGCTGCTGAGCAAGTATTTATCTGCATAGATCATGAGTCCCCGATTTTAAAGCCTGTGCCCTCTATCCTTGGATATAGCCAGACCCCTGCAAAGAGCAAGGCTGTGGGTACAGGAATGCACTGTGGGTTTGGGCTGGAATTGGTTGGGCCACAGGGGCATGTTTATGTCTAGGAACAGAGGACTCTACCTTCAGGACTTAGGCTTGGGTCCCCCATTGCCAAAACTTTTTCCCCAGGAGATGAAATGAAACACAGAGAAGGTTTCAAAAAAAAAAAAAAAAAAGAAATCAAACATATCCCTGCTGGCTCTGAAGTCAGAACCCGTGTACCACAGTCAGAGGATGTGGCTACCTGTCCAAACTGGAAAAGGCAAGGAAACAGATCATCACTACGTGGACCTCCAGAAAGGACTTTGCTCTCCTAATGCCTGTTTTTACCCTTGGAACCTCTGATCTCCAGAACTGTGTGATGATAATGTGTGTGGTTTAAGCCACTCCATTTATACTGATCTGACATAGCAGTAGCAAATGAATCCTGTGGTAGAGTGGAGGCTCAACTGTTTATTCAAGGGACTTCCAGTAGTATTAAGTTTAGTGTTTTCCTTTCTCATGGCCTGGCCAGTCCTCAGGATTCAGAAATGAATTCTTCAGTATCTGATAGTGCGTAGATGAGTTAGGACAGCCAATCAGCCAGAACCACCACAATGTTTACAAGAACAAAGTGTTTAATGTAGATCCTGGGGGTTGCCGAGGAAGAGGTAGTCCTGAAAGTTGCAGCTAGAGGGTGGAGGATTGATATTTCAGTCCTGGGCTTTCATTACTGGAGCAGAAGGGGCTGGAGGTCACTAGAAATTCCAAGAAGCCAGTGTCTACCACCCCTGGAAGGTTTCCACATGGAGCTGGCAGAGTACCATGAAGTCATCTCATCTGACCATGAGGATAATGGCATTCATGTCACACATTCCACCTCTGATTCAGGTCCCTGTCACTGGCAAACTGTAGCTTGCAGTATATGAGAAGGAGGTTCTGGGCGGTATCTCCAGCCTTATTAGATGGGCGTGATAGTGGTTGTGAGCTGATGGCAGCCAATCTACCACCAGGATAAGCCTTGCTGCCAGATTCCAGCCTTGAGGAAGGGGCAGGCGTCTCATTGTTCAGGAACATGTTTCTTAACATGGCAACCAGCTCTCCCGCAACCGTACTGATCTCACTAAGAACAATGTCTCTGGGTCAGTCTTTCCAGAGAGTAAAACATGGGGAGGTCATAGTGGGAGCTTGAGGAGACCAGAATTTGACTGAGCCCAGGTGCTTACATCGCAGGGATTCTCATTTCTAGTTCAGGCACTGCATCTTCTTTCTTTCTCAGGCACTGCACCTCCAGTTCCTGCGCCTTCCAGCCTTCTGCCCAAGTACCACATCTTCTCTGAGATCTCAGGTATTGGCATTTTCTGCTGTGCTACATTTAATTACCTCACGTCTGTTGATTTGGTTTCAGTATCTGTGGCTGTCTGCATCTCATTCTTTCTGTCATTGCTAGTTTATACTTAATCCTTCACTCCCATGCTAGTGGGATTTCAGAAGGAAGGAAAGCCCAGCCAGTGTTTATTATGTATACCTGAAAGGTTTCTGAGATGAATAGAATGATACAGTTCAGAGAGCAAGAAATCAGGGGCATTCTGGACCTGGCTCCAGCCCTCTTAACTACTCTCAAGGAGCCCTGCTTTCTCATCTCTAAAACAAATGGGTCGTAGTGTAGCCCCTTGTAAAATGAACTAAAGTTTTGGGTCCTTACCCTCCAGAAGAAAAAAAAAGTACAAATGCACAAAACCTGAGGTGGAGATATAAGATCAGATGGCCCATTCATTACAAGCCCTTCCACAAGCCTTTCAAGATATTAACCCTCCAATTCAGAACCCCTGATTTGTACATGTGACATTCTGATTCACAAAGCCATAGAGTTGGGCCAGTATGCTTATAAACCCAGCTAGACACAGAGATGGGACAACTGTGGTTAGAAGGGAAGCTGAACAAAAAGTGAAACCCCATCTTAATCACCATGTGCATGGCCCAGCTATGCTGAAGGTATAGGTAGGAGGGTGATAGTCTTGAGGCCGGCCAAGGTAAGATGAAATGTAGAAAAAAATGAACAGATCCTAACATAAAAGGCCAAAGGTGTGGCTCAATGTCGGGGAGCTGGGGAGGAAGATATATATGAGATCTATATAATACTATGTGTGTGTGTGTGTGTGTGTGTGTGTGTGTGTGTGTGTGTGTGTGTGAGAGAGAGAGAGAGAGAGAGAGAGAGAGAGAGATAAACAACTTATACCTGCTTAGGAAGTGATAGGCTCTTAGTTCAAACCCAAGTATGACCACACACACACACACACACACACACACACACACACACACACACACGATTTCAAACATGGCATTGCTAGTTAAATATTTTCAAAGATAACAAAGTAAGCCAGGCACTGGTAGCTCACACCTGTAATCCTAGCTATTCAGGAGACTGAGATCTGAGGATTACAGTTCGAAGCCAGCCCAGGCAGGAAAAGTCAGTGAGAGTCTTATCGCCAAAAAACCACTAGAAAACCAGAAGTGCTGCTGTGGCTCAAGCAGTAGAGCACTCGCCTTGAGCTGAAGAGCACAGAGACAGCGCTCAAGTCCAGAGTTCAAGCCCCATGACCAGAAAATAAAAAGATAAAGTAGTTGTCAATGTACTAAATATGAGTAAACAAAGCCAGAGTCCACAAGTCATTTGAGTTCACTCAGCTAAGTTCAAGGGGCTGGTGGATTTACCACACCAAAAAGCAGTAGGGCAGGTGGCCAGAGAACAGAGAATCTGCCTATCTGCCTGCTTGCTCACCATAGAGAAGGCTGTGCAATCAGGCAAAATCTCAGTGGAGGCCTGGCCAGTGGTACTCATTGCAGTCCGGGGTACACCTTCCCGGATGGATGTACTCTCACTGGAGTAATATGTCAGGCAGCAGGCTAAACTAAAGCACAGACCCATCAGTGTCATTGAGTACCAAAAGGCCCTGTGTGTTCACTCATCTTCCAGCCCTTCAGGACCTAGACTCCTTAAAGAGTTGAGGCTGCTAACCAAAAGTTAGATCATTTTCTAAAGTCTTACATCCAAACAGCATCTCCACCAGCTGGTCATTCCTTTCCAAAGAGGCCCTGGGATGCATTCAGCAGCACTGGGAAGAGGTGCTGGCGTCCTCCTTGCTCGGTTGCTCATGTGGGCATGATGGCCACCCACTGCAGTGGGCCTTGTCTTTTTTGCGAAGGATGGAGCTTACATGTTATTAGTTAGTTGGCTGAAGGATTTGGCTGTGGGGGTGATAGTTTAATTTCTAGAGATAACCCACACCAATCACTCACTCTCTTTAAGGGCCAAAGAGCAAACTTTAGCCAATTATTTGAGAGCCATCTTGTTATGAAAGACATTTTCCACCCCGGTAGCCTTGGTGCCCAGCAGCTGACCCTCCCCTGCACAGAAACAATGGTGCTCAGGTGCTTCCCCGGGGAGTGCACTGGCACTGCCCTGGTATGTGGGTGCGGCAAGGGAGTCAAACTGTACAGACTTGCTGTCTCAGGGCTGACCCTACCAGATCCAGAGATATAAGGGCCGGCAAGCTCAGGACTCTTTCTCCTGAGAGGTGAGAGGAGTCACAGCTGGACAGGAGGAAATCAAAGAGGTGGAGGATGGAAGGACAGATGTTGCAGTCTATGACTTCGGCAAATTTTACCTCCATGAAAACACAGCCTACAAAAGTATGGCCCAGTATCAATCTGTATCAACCCTCAACATGTTGGCCACCACCGCAATGGGTTGGGCAGATGATGGTGCAGGCCTGGCAGAGGCTGAGTAACCAATACTGTGCCAAAGGCTTGATGTGGCAGGAGGCGACAGGACAAAGGCATCAGAGTGTGCCAGTTGGGTGCTAGCCTTCTTTGCTGTCAGAACTGGTCTTGAAATAAAGGCCAGCCCTTGGATATACTTGTAAAGGAGGCATCTTACCCTGTACAAACAGCTGCCTCTCCCTGCAGGCTTCCGCCCTGTGACTGAACAGGACGAGGACGAGGACGAGGACAAGGGCAGGCAGGAAAACAAGCACAAAACCCAGGGCAGATGGTACTGAGACCCTCCTATGCCAGCCTCTCTGACCCTCTGTATACATCAGAAAACAAATAGTAGGTTGTTCAAAAAAGTCAGAGACATGCAAATAAGCAGAACTTGAATAGCACCAGTTAGCAGACAATGAGCTTCTCAGGACTCAACCTCTAAATGACCTTGAAATGAACTTGGAAGAGTCTTGGTGTCATACTGACCAACATGAAGAGAGCCACTAGCCTGATTTCCCTAATAGAAGGCAAGGTCCACAGGAGTGTCTCATAGAGAAGAAGTCTGCACATGAGGGCAACAGTGTCTAAAGATGCATGGGTGCATGTGTAGAGTTTCTATCAAGCTATGGCTGGTGAGAATAAGTGGAGTTCCTGGGGGACCTGTTTCTTAGCTCACACCTTTGCTCCTGCAGAGGGGTTCTCAATGCTCTGGAATGGGAGGTCAGACTTACCCCCAAAGGACCAACTAGGTCCTGGGATCAGCAGCTCTGTGTCTTGGCACCTCTGAGATAGGCCCTTAGAAAAGACGGG